GGAGAGGGAGAGGGAGGTGTATGGTGGTGTACAAGGGAGTGGGAGGGATGAAATTGGATGAGAACAGGTGCTAACGAATAATTGGGTATAGGTATTTGGATTTACATGGAGAGAACAAAAGGAAAAGGCACATCAGGAATTCGTTACGCTTCCTTGGTATCTTTTAGGAAAGGTAGGTTGGCTTCTTCTTCTTCTTCTTCTATCTATCCCCTCATCCATCCCTCCATCCATCCCTCCCTCCATCAATCCATCAATCCATATCCATATCTATACAAACATTCACACCCCATCAACCAACCAACCAACCAACCAACCCCACAGATCCCCCCAGGAATCGCACCCCAACAAGCCGTCACTCTCCCCAACAACTTCGTCACCGTTTTCCACACCGTTACTGCAGATCTCGGTCTCGAATTGCCATGGCCGAAACCCGAGGGTTTTGAACCTGTGCATGGGGATCGTTGTATTCTTATTTGGGGTGGTTCTTCTTCTGTGTGCGTATTGCAAGCATCTTCTTTTTCATATTTCATATTGCATCAGATCACATCACATCACATTACCCTAGGGTCTAGCCATCATACCCCACTTCTCCTCTCCTCTCCTCTCCTCTCCTCTCCTCTCCTCTCCTCTCCTCTCCAAATCCAAATCCAAATACACTTTCCAACATCCCAACATTCCAACACTCCAACACTCTAACCCCCTGCCCACCACCCAGCGGCCAATACACCATCCAAATCCTCACCTACTACGGCTACACCAACATCATCAGCAGCGCCTCCCCAATCCACCACACGCTCCTCCAAAAGTTCGGCACACGCCACGTATTCGATTATCGAAACCCGAATATCGTGACATCGATCCTTAACACCATCACCAGAACCAGCACCAGCACCAGCACAAACGCCAAATCAACCAATAGAGAACCAGAACCCTCCATCCCTTTCATACTAGATTGTATAGGATCCCAGTCAGGAAGTTTAGCACCGCTTTCTCGCATCGCGCAGAGAGGTGCGAGAGTTGCTGTGTTGTTGCCGGTTATTGTGAGGGATTCGAGTGAGGAGGTGGCGCCTGAGTATGTATTTTCATTTTTGTTGTTATCGTTATTATTTGGAAATTAAGTATGTATGTGATGGCTGGAAGGGAAAACAAATTGGGAAATTAGCTATAGATGATTAACTTGAGATGCGATTAACATTAGATATTCAATGGATGTCGCCGCCTCAGCACCATGGGCTTCAGGCGTAGAGACACGGGGTGTACGCACGCATTTCTATCTGGATGTAAGTCCCGTCCCATCCCGTCTCTTCTCTTCTCTTCTCTT